TTCTACCCATGTGCAATTGGCAAACCTGTATGCTAGCGTAGGATGCTGGGACCACGCTGCAAGAGTTTGGAAGTTGATGAAATAATATTATTTCTTATTTATTTATTTATTGAGAAAGACATACGAACAATGAAATAATATTAGCTTTGTTGTAAAAGTGAATAGAGAAAGTATATGAAATGCAAGAGTAGTTCTGAATAGCTCAATTGTGAAGACCTATATTTTAAAAGGATAAAAGAATATATTTATCTTTTGGATAAACTTGAATGATATTATCTTTTAAAGATATTTATTTTTTGGATAAACTTGAATGATATTATCTTTTTAAGATATTTATCTTTTGGATAAACTTGAATGATATTCTCTTTTAAAGATATTTATCTTTTGGATAAACTTGAATGATATTATCAATAATCCGTGCTGTGTTGAGTGCTTGCCAACAAGGAGGTTTTGCTCATGTTATGGTGGAATCCGATTCTCTAATTGGCATTCAGATGGTGAATAGAGAAAGACTGGTGGATGCAGAGATCGACAGTTTGATCTTTGATATCCAAGCTATGACTAGAGAACTCCAAGATGTGATTTTTATTCATGCCCTTCACAGCTGTAATAACTCTGCTCATGAGGTTGCATCTTTTGTACGTAGGAATGGAGGTACCCATCTGTGGGATTTTGTACCGCCTGAGTGGCTGTTTAATACCTTGGCAGGAGAGAGAGAGAGAGAGAGAGAGAGAGAGAGAGAGAGAGAGAGAGAGAGAGAGAGAGAGAGAGAGAGAGAGAGAGAGAGAGAGAGAGAGAGAGAGAGAGAGAGAGAGAGAGAGAGAGAGAGAGAGAGAGAGAGAGAGAGAGAGAGAGAGAGAGAGAGAGAGAGAGAGAGAGAGAGAGAGAGAGAGAGAGAGAGAGAGAGAGAGAGAGAGAGAGAGAGAGAGAGAGAGAGAGAGAGAGAGAGAGAGAGAGAGAGAGAGAGAGAGAGAGAGAGAGAGAGAGAGAGAGAGAGAGAGAGAGAGAGAGAGAGAGAGAGAGAGAGAGAGAGAGAGAGAGAGAGAGAGAGAGAGAGAGAGAGAGAGAGAGAGAGAGAGAGAGAGAGAGAGAGAGAGAGAGAGAGAGAGAGAGAGAGAGAGAGAGAGAGAGAGAGAGCTGATTCTTGGAGGAGATATGGGGCTTAGCTTGTATTTTCTTAACTTGGAGCAATGCTTTGGAATCGAGGTAGGGATTTCTTGGGATGCCTTTACGGGGATTGATCTAATTAAATTTCATGAACACTATATTATGCATGATATTATTATTTCGAAGGCATAATTATATCATGTCATGGAAATTGGTTGGAGTTGTTGGATTGAGAAAATAATGATGGAAAATAGGGTAATGGGAAGGATCTTTTGTGTAGTTGAGTCTAACCCTTAGCAGGTACCAGGTCTCAGGGATCCCACAGTGCACATGAGTTTTATTGGGTGATTCGGGATTGGCGAAAGGGAGTTAGACAAGATAACTAACAAAATGGGAAATTGTGGGATGATTGAGATGGGTGGTAGTTCATATAAATGGGCATTCGGGACCAAGTGGTATAAGCATGGTATGGGACGTGCAGGTCTGCTTGTCTAGTTATATGAATTAACGGGAGTAGATGAAGAGCATTCATTCATTCATGTATTATTAATAATGTGATATTTGGTTGTGTGATTGCATATCACTTAATTTAGTTATATCAATTTACTGTGATAAGGTCTCATGTCCCTACTGAGTGGTGGTTGCTCATCCCTCACCCTGTTTAATTTTTCAGATGAATTAGTGGGCAAGACAAGGACTAAACCAGTTGAGGCTGAATTAGATGAGAGTGATAGAGCTTTATTTATTAATTGTAAAGTTGTAAGATTTTGGGAGTTATTTTTATTAGAGAAGTTTATTTTAAACCCCTGTTTCGGGTTTTTTTTTTTTTTTCTTTTTTTTCTCATGCACCGGGCGTGGGGTTTCAGCCTACCCTCAGGTACGGGGCGTGACATCAATGCTCTAATGTCTTATTCATCTTTAGTGCCTACTATTTATAGGCATAGGAAATACATCACCATTTACCACCTTTAAGTAGTGAGTTACAAAACATAATAACCAATGATAAATATAGTATTTAGTGCATAGGTTACAACCCTATAATGATAGGTATAATGATGAGTATAATGGAGGAATTACAATAGACTTATGGTGGGCATCCATAATCCTTGAGGTTACAACACTCCCCCTTGGATGTCCACCATGCATGGAGTATGCCTCGTTAAAACCTTACTAGTAAAACCCGATGGGACAAAACCTACTCGAAGGGAAAAAAGTACATATCTATGTGTAATATAGAACGTGTGACACTGCCTCATTAAAACCTTGCTTAGAAAAACTCAGTGGGATAAAAACCAGAACGAAGGAAAAGGAGTACAATGTGAAGGTCTCAATTATGACACGCTCCCCCTGATGTTGGCAAAAGATCCTTGAGTTGACACATTCCAATATTTACATAACAAACATGCTTCGAACTTCCTATAAATTACAAAATTGCCATCAATTTCTTAAAACAAGTCCAACCCCACAACATCATAAAAAAAAACCCAAAACACTCAATAGGGTATCAAAGTAATTTAATAATAAAAAATTAGATTCAATAGGGCCAATTGTCATTTTTTTTGTTTTTTTGTTTTGGTTTGTTTATAGAAATTAAATGGTATAGGGTCTATCTATATCACTATTGCTAAGAATGGGTATGTAACTAAATATCTCCAAACAAGGAAAAAAAAAAAAAAACCTTCCTCCCC